GATTTTCCTGGGCAGGGGCCATGGGGATAACCACAGCAAAGTCCCACCTGGCTGCTCTCATGAAGGATTGGGGGCATCCATTCCATGAGGAACACACCCTGCTCCTTAGTGAAGCCTTTGAAGGTGGGGATGGTGATTTTCCAGGGCAGGGGCCATGGGGATAACCACAGCCTGCTCCCACCTCCGTGGGTTTGGGGACACAGAGGGCTGGGGTGCTCAGCCCCATGGTGCCTTCCAGCCTCGCAGATCCCCTCTCCCAGCCCCTTGGTGCCCTCCTGCCAGCCTGTCCCTGCCATTTGAAAGATGAGCCCCTGGCAGAGCCGGGCCAGGCACGGAGTAACCGGAGCCGGGAGGGAGAGCTGACCCCGGCCCATCCCGTTATAGCCGGCCCTAATCCCGGCCCGGCTGGGTGTCACATTCCGGGGGAACGGAGAGCTGCAGGGGCATGCCGTGTGTCTGGGGGTCCCCGACAGGGACAAACCCGCTGTCCCTGAGCTCCGGGGACAAAGAGAGCAGCACGTGGAGGGCTCAGCCCTGCCGCCGGGTCCCGAATGTCCCTCCCCAGGGGACCGAACACCTCCCCAAGGGAACTGNAAATGTATTTTACAAAATACAGATCCAAAAAAAAAGAAAAAAAAAAAAAAAGCAAAAAAAGCCAACAACAACGAAAAAAAAAAAATCATCCCACCTTGCACTAAATCGCAGCACTCTGAACACTTGCTCTGCCCCATGCCTGGTGTGAGGGAGGAGGCATGGGAACGGGGAGGGGAGGGAAATCCAGGTCTCAGTCTGCTTTAGGGAATTGCTCTGGCAGGGACCTCGTCAGTCATCTGATGTCGGACACGGAGCCCTCGGAGTACGGCGTGCTCATCACCGGGGTGCCGTTGTTGGCCAGACAGCCTTGCCTCAAGGTCTCAAAGTACGAGGCCTGCACTGGTTTATGATACTGCAGAACTTTTATGGCATCCTCTATCTTAAACCATTCCCTTTTTCTTCCTGGGGGCAAAGAGAGAAATCAGTAGATGCAACAGAATGATGTTTTCTGATCTCAAGGGCCTCCCCCTCCAACCCCACACTGACAGCTCCCCATCCCCAGGGACAGGTGCTTTTTGCTACTTCTGCAATTTCTAGTCAAGCCAGATGCTCATTTTAAGACAATACACAACACACAATTTCCATCACTTTGCAAATGGACTTCAGTTTCCTGTGGACAGCTCTCAGTTCTTACTCTTTCCATAAAGAGCCTGAGGGGAGTCACGTTCCATTTGCTGCAGTGCAGTCACAAACCTTGTGGCAACAACAGGTTCATTTCCACTTGGGAATCCAATTGAAACACAAGGGTTTCAAAGGTAACAGGGAATGATTAACCCACACTGCTCACATGTATTTCCTCTAGTCTCAGACAGGACAGTTCTTCATCTTTGCTTGGCACCATGCAGTGCAAGAATTAAACACAAAATTGCTGCAGAGGCAGCTGGACACTCACTTGGCTTTTCCTGGGCCACAGAGGTGACAAACCATCAATTTCACCTCAATTTTTTCCCAAGCAACCAAAGGACACACCACTGCAACTTTTCCCAATGCCACTCCCACAGGCTCCAGGTCCCAGAGGGATGCTGAGCTGACCTGTGGGTTGCTTCCATCAGTTACTGCAGCATGCACCAAGCTTACCAATATTGACAGAGTCCTCCCAGTCCTCCAACACTTCGGTGACGATGAGTACGTAAACATAAGTCCTGTGCTTCCTGTCCCGGTTCTGGAAAGCAAAGGGGACGGAGTAACCACCAAGCAACAGCAACAGCAAACCTGTCCAGGCAGGAGGGCACTGGGCTGCAAAACTGCCCACCTTGGTGCAGCTCCTCCCACAGCACAGCTCATTCTTAGCTACTAAAAACTGCTGTGCTTTAAATCAGAGAGGTCTGAAAGTGTTGATAGGGACACCTAAAGTGGAGTTCCTCATCTGTAGAGCAGCGGTGTGTGGACTGATGTGCTTACAAATTAGTTCTTCAGCTGGGAAGGTTTTGACCTATTTCACATGAGTTTGAAGGAGTCAGTGCCAGAACAACAGCAATTGCTGTGTCTGGTACCTGCCCACTGTGCCAGGTGAGTGCCACACATGAAGGGGGCACCCCACTCCCCAGCTTTTGGCAGCACCAAGAATATTCAGCCACACCAGTTATCACCAGTGATTTTTCCCACTGCAAAGATCAGAATTGCTGAGCAGCTGTGTTTGTATTTACCAGCAAGGCTCACTCCACAACCCTGCAGAGCCATTGTTACTCCAAGATGATTTTTTGCAACAAAATTTCACAGTGTCCGTGTCTGAAACTTACCTCAAAAATTCCCACTAATCTTCCTAACGTCCCTTTCACTCCAGCCTAGGGAAGTTCAAAGAGAAAAGAAACATGCTTTAACAACAGCTCAGTACGTGTTTCCTACTTGTTGTGCAGGACCAGTTCCTTTAGGACAGGAAGCAAATGCTCTAAAATTCTGCTTGTCTTAAACCAACACAGTCACAAGGCAAAACACAGAAATGTATCCTGAGTGCTCAACATCCAAGCATTCCCAGGGCTTTTTTTCTCTTGTTTTCCTACATTCAAACAATTTTGAATTCAATGTGGGGGAAGAAGAAATATTTGAGGAGTTACTCCTTGCATACCAATACAGTCCTCGTGACCAGAATCTCCTCTGAAGGTTATTACAGCCTGAGCAAGGGGAACATTGGCTTTGGGGTTTGGCAGCTTTATCCCTTCAAAATCAGAGTTGAAGGAAATAAAGTATGTGTAATACATTCACTTACACCCCAAGAGTGATGTGACAGCTCCCAGGTATTTCAGGGGTGTCCTGCACACACCTGACACAATCCAATATAAACACAAAATGCTGTGATGTGGCCCTGGCAGCAGGAACTACAGAGGTTTGGATATGACACAAAGGGCAGATGCACACTGCAATAAAGCTCTTGAATCAAGCAGAGACACAAATCAAGAGATCTAAGCAACAGTTTTGTCTGTTTGAATACTACTGAGGATGTAGCACTCCATCACATTCCGTGTCCCTTTTGGCACCTCTCTGCTGGCTCCCTCCCCACCCTGCTCAGCTCTCTGTGCAAATTCCCAGCCCACTCTCCTGCCCTTGCTTTCTATTCCCTCTGTTTTATGACTGTAAATGGTTGGAACTCAAGTGCTACAGACAAGATGAGATCTTGCTCCATGATTTAACAGGTCTGAACCAACCCACACAGCCTGGCACACGACCCAGCCACAACTGGGAGGGAGAGTCAGCTCCATTTCCAGCAGCTGGAACACATCCCATGAGCAGCCCAGGGAAATTGTGCCTCTTGCAGATGAGATACAGAGATATGATTATGCCAGGCTTCTTTTTTTAAAACAAAAAGTGTTTGAGTCTCATTAATGCTAAGACAAATTCTCTGTCCTACTGACCAGCTGATGCACGGTCTCGTGCTGTCAGAAAGGAAGAATTTTCTTTAATGAGACAATTTTCCTGGTGAAGTTCCAGCCTACTGCATGAACAGGTACCAGAGACTCCAGCCAGAGAACACCTCACCCCTGCTGCCAGGCTGCTGATGTGGAACTGCCCCAGGAGCAAAGGGTTTGGAGCTCCCTCACTAAGCAGCCACAGAAATCCAGAAATCCTTTTTCTAGGAAGTGAATCAACCGAATCTCCCATTTCATTTTTGGACACAAGCTTTGTTGTCTCACCAGCATTTGTGACATCCTGCTGGGCCCAGAGGTGCCTCAGTGCCTGTGACTCTGGGGCTATTTCTGGAGGGAGCAGCAGCCCCATGGAGGAGCAGCAATTCCATGCAGGTCGGTGCCTGCTGACCTTTGAGGATTCCACCTCCTCTGCCAACCCTGCTGACCTGGCCTCAGCCCTCTCCCAAGGCATCTGGAATGTAAATGCTTCAAATGCATTTCCCTCAAGGAACTCCTTCAGCACTGGGGTTTATTTTTAGCTCAGCCGTGTTCAACAGGCAGCAGAAACACAGCGAGGAACTGGAGGCTTCCACCTTCACAACATACGGACACGAACGCATTAAAAGGTGAAGAAGAATCAAATATTTCTGGAAAATAACTGTCTTAAACCAATGTTTCACTGGTTTCTGGAAAAGGTTGTTGAATTTCTGCTCTCCCTACCTGTGGGCACTGAATCAGAAGGCAGGGATTTTGTTGTGATGGTTTAGTGAACTCTCAAGTCTGACTAGAAATAAATTTATCTCCAGGCAACTGGCCAACCTGGAGACGAAGGATGAATTCTGCTCAAGCAGCCTCCCAGGCAGTTTATCCCAGCTCCAGAACTGTGCTGGAAGCAGCAGAGGGAGGTGAGGAGCCCTTCCTTCTGTGCTGGTAAAGAGAGATGATGGAAATAATGCTGTCTTCAAACCAGGATCCTCCTGCTCCGCCCTGCCTGGTCTTATTTGCCCAAAAAGGCACAAAAAGCGATGCCAAGACAAACATGTCTTGTAGAGAAATCATGTTGAATTATCATCACACAACTGGAGAAAGCTCTAAGCTTTGCTTCACACACAAACTTCCCATGTGCAGTTGTAAATGGCGACATAAAAGAATGGTTTGGTTCAAAAAAAACATCGGGTTGATTTTATAAAGCAAATTCTTACCAAAGGCTGCAAAACACATCAGCCACTGCTCCTGGGTGCCTCTCTCAGATTGTTTTCCAGTGGATTTTAAAGACAACATACAGGACACCCAACACCAACAGGATTGTCATGTACCTGTTTTTGATGGAGCACTAAATTCCCACACCAACAGGAGAGTTGATCTCTGTACAATGGCACAAACAAGCATGGAAGTGGAACTCACAGTCTCACACAAATTTCTAACATAGAAGCTGCCCAAGACACCTAAAAAATAACTTACAGCTGCTACCACTGACAAGTCAAGCTTGCTAACCAGCAAAGGAACTGCCAGGCTCCTCTCTGGGCAAGCTCCCATCTCCTCCTTCACATGGGCAAGAAAATTTTCTTGAAGAGTTAAATCACAGTCCCAGGCTCACCCAGGACTGCAGCAGGGTCTGAACCTTAATTTGCAGCAGATGACTCAGGAATTTTCTCCTGGACAGTAAATGAATGGCTGAGACAGTGAGTGAGGCAGAGGCAGCACAATTGATTTTGTGCCCCTCTAAGCTCTGGAAGTGCTGCAATCCTCCAGGCACATGGAGAATCCCAGGAGGATGGTTCTGAACCCATAGCAGGGGTAGGAGAGCACCAGCACCAACTGCAGGTGTGGAAACAAAGCAAGGCAATCACAGGACAGGATTCCCTGGGAAAGGCACACTTTGATACAAGAGGACACACAAAGAGCTGGCAAAATGAGCTTTTCCCCAGCTCTGCTGATCTAAATCAGCATCCAGGGTTCAGAGGAGGAGGAAAAGGCAGCTCTGGCAAGAGCACATCAGCCAGGGGCACTGCCAGAGCCAGCTGCCTGCCCAGCACACACTTCAGACCCCCAGAGCACCCAGAGGGCTGGGCTGGCAGCTCAGGACAAGCAACAAAAACCTGCAGGAAATGAAGCTTTACTAGTTCTGCTGCTCATGGAACAACTTGTTTTAATAAAGAAAAATTACTGAAGCCATCCAAGAACAGCAGGTTCAGGTTTCAAAGCTGAAAATAAGTTGGGGTCAGATGCAAAAAGCAGCCTGCAGCAACACCATCTGTTCCTCGGGACAGCTTTTATTTCCTTCCATCTGAGCTAAGGAAAATGTGGGTTGGAATTTCAGCTATTTTACTTTGCTCTATTAGGCTCAAAGCCTGCATCTACTACAGATTACTGCTGGGCAAGAGAACTGTGGTGGAACACCCAAATCTTTGCTCTAAGAGCTGCACTGCTGGAGGTGCAAATCCCACCCAGGAGGGCTGTGGACATGTTTGGAGGATGCTGATTCCAGGCCAGCTGGGCAAACTCTGCTGTCTCAGAGAGGGTCAGATTCATTCATCTAATTTGGTACTGCATGACACCTTTATTTGCTTCCACACTTGTGAAATAGAAATGAAATTCCCTATCAGAATGAAGAACTTGCAGATAGTGCTATCATTTTTGCAAAGTCTGAGTACACAGGGTAAGGGACAGTGACTTTGAGCCACCTCCTGCACTGGGTATGTCCAGCCAGGAGGGGTTCAAAGGCCACAATCTCATCATTCATATGTGGGGCCTGCAGTACTTAAAAAAAAATCTTCCTATTTTAGCACTGAAAGATATCAATATCTGTGTTCTAAATCACTAACAAAATACATGAAACAGGAAAGATTATCTATAAAGCATGTTTAGAAGAGGGGGAAAAAAAGTTCCAGCAAACAGATCAAAGTATTGCTGTGATGGACCATTCTTGATATTGGCACCAATTGCCTGTTTGATCACAGATCAAGCACAGATTATGGCTTTTGACTCCCATGAAAAAAGAACAACCAACGCTCCTGCAGTGGTATAAAATTTGACATTTACTAAGTATTTAAAGGTCAGGATGTGAAGAATGCTCTAAGTGAAAAAGGAACTGGTGCTGAGTGTCACAGATGAGTGTGGAGCTTTTTTCAAAGTCACTCTATAATAAGTTTAAGGCATCTATTTCTAAACCATGATGTTCACCAGTTGCTCACACCCATAAAAACCTCTTATTCCTAAGCAAAGAACACACTCCATGAGCACCACGACCTGTTTGCAAAGGGCACACACCTTCCACAAGGTGAACTTTAGAACACACGTGGAGTCCCCAGATCGGTAAGTGACTACAGCAACCTGTCAAAAATTAGAGGTTTCTTGTGAAGAGGCTGCTGTGACCCAGAGCTGCTGTGTGTCTGCTGTCACTCTGCACAAACAATGCCCAACAACTGCAGTCACTTCCAATTTCATGCAGACAACAGGGAGCATGACAAGTGTGGGTACCTGTCTACTTTAATACTTGTGCTGGTACAGACTAATAGAGATAAGGACTACCTCAAACTAGGACAAGGACTTGAACTCAAACTGGGACAGAGGGATCACAGCCTTCACTCAGAATCAACATTTCATTTTTGGAACAGAAAGAGGGAAAAGTTAGGTAACTTTAGATGGCAATTCTTTCTGCAATAACATGGATAAACCCAAACACACAGAGTAAAATTAAAACAGTGAATGCAGAAGTTAAAATGTTCGTTTAGGGAAACATGTTTTGGGAATAAAAAAGCACACCATGCAAAAGAGAATGAATTGGGAAGAGACAGTCTATTGTCATCCTCAAAAGCCACAAGCAACAGGAAGGGCCACAAGTTCTTAGAGCTCTTCCAACTGGCTCTTACTAAAAATTGGAAAAGGCATACCAAAGTCAAGGAAAGAAACCCCACACATTTCTTCCACAGCTTGGAGCAGCATTGCTCACTGCCATGGGAGAAAACTGGATTTTCCCTTTCCCACCTTGAGCAACAAACTGGAGCTGCTCAGCTAACCTGTGTCCCCTGTGAATGGCTGTTCCAGGAGAGAAGCAAGGACCCCAAAGCTACTCAGAAATCAGCCTCAGCTCCAAACAACCCCAGAACACCTGGATTGACATGGAAGGGAGAGCAAAGGCTCCCAGCAGCCTCCTGAAACCCCTCCTGCCAAACTGACAGCATGAGCTGGGAAAGTGGATGCTCCTGTCTTTCCCAAACAGCTCCAAACAGCTTGGGGCCAGGGATGTGGGGATAATTCTGTGTGCAGCCCCTCAGCAGCAGCACATGAGCACAGCCCGAAGGGGGAAGGCATCACACCCCTAAAACTCTGCCAGCACCACTGGCACTGTGCTCATGTCAGACAGCTCCGTGTCAGCTCCTGCACCTGCAGCAACCAGGGCTGGGGGTGCCCAGGTGAGCTGGGGGTGAGCCAGGGGGGAACCAGGGGTGCCCAGGTGAGCAAGGGGTGCTCAAGTGAGCCAGGAGTGAGCCAGGGGTGCCCAAGTGAGCTGGGGGTGAGCCAGGGGTGCCCAGGTGAGCCAGGAGTACCCAGGTGAGCAAGGGGTGCCCAGGTGAGCAAGGGGTGCTCAAGTGAGCCAGGAGTGAGCCAGGGGTGCCCAGGTGAGCTGGGGGTGAGCCAGGGGGGAACCAGGGATGCCCAGGTGAGCTGGGGGTGCTCAAATGAGCCAGGGGTGCCCAAGGGAGCCGGGGGTGAGCCAGGGGTGCCCAAGTGAGCCAAGGGTACCCAGGTGAGCAAGGGGTGCTCAAGTGAGCTG